AGCACATAGCTGAGGTTCAGGGAGGTTGACAGTCCCTTACAGTTCAACTACGCTTTTATTGAGTACCTGCTATGTTCCAAGCACTGTGCTAGGTGCCAGGGAGCATCTGATCTTGAGGGGTACAGTCATTTCAAAACAACATGGCAAATGCATGAAAAAGCCACAAGCTGGGCTGAGAGTGCAGTTCAGTGGTAGAGTGCATGCTTAGCATGCACCAGGGCCTAGATTCGATCCCCAGCACACATTAAAAATAAATACTATGTGCTGGGGTTGTAGCTCAGTGGTAGAGTGCTTACCTAGCATGTGTAAGGCACTGGATTTGATCCTTAGCACCACATAAAAATAAACAAACAAAAGCATGCTGTTTACCTATAACTACAAAAAATGATTAAGAGAGTAAAAAATAATAATAATAATAAATACTTGGGCAGGTATCACAGGCCTGTAATCCCAGGGTGATTGCATGGCCAGACTCTCCTAAGGCTGAGGCAGGAGGATCCCAAGTTCAAAGCCAGCCTCAGCAACTTACTGAGACCCTAGGTAACTTAGTGAGAAATTGTCTCAAAATAAAAAAGGCTGGGGATGTGGCTCAAGGGTTAAGAGCCCCTGGGTTCAATTGCCAGTACCAACCCCAATAAATAAGTAAAGGCATGCCCCCCAAACTATGGGGACACATGACCCAACCCAGGGTGTGGGGAGGTCAAGAGAGGCTCCAGGGAACATGTGACATCAGCACAGTGTCTTCAAGAATAAGGATAAATCAGGGCTGGGGTTGTAGCTCAGTGGTAGAGCGCTTGCCTAGCATATACAAGGTACTGGGTTCAATCCCCAGCATAACATAAATAAATAAAATGAACAAAATAAAAGTTAATAAGGATAAATCAGCCAGGTGCGTTGACCCACATCTATAACCCCAGTGATTTAAAACACGAGACTGAGGCAAGAGGCTGGCAAGTTCCGGGCAATTTAGCAAGACTCTATTGGGGAAAATGGTAAATAAAAGACTGGGAATGTAGATCAGTGATAAAGGGTTTTAGATCTGAGAGCTGTGAAGCCACAGGCTTTAGGGAAGCAGGTGCCACAGTCCCTGCTGTCTGGCATGGCCAGTAGAAAAATATAGACAGTTGGGGTCTTGGAGGCCCTGGCACTCTCAGCGTTGAACACGTGCTCCTGGTAACCAGCGGCACTTGAGAGCCTCAAAAGATTATCACTAGAGGGACATATATATGGACAATCACTAGAGACGTCAGATTTGTGACAGCCCATGAGGTGCTTACCCCATGCCAGGCGGTGCTGGCCACTTGCTGGCCTCTATTATTCACATTTTAAGGGGATTTAAGTAATTGCCCTTAGGCACAAGGACCCAGCCCTTGCTCCACGCTCGCTCTGGACACATCTGGGGGACCCAGTGAACAGCAGAGCAGGGACTTGGGGGCCAGGTCTCCCGACCGGCTGCACCAATCCCTGGGCCCATCCCTCGCGCTGGCACCGGGAGAAGGGAGGGCGGTGCGCTCCCCTGACGGCCGTCGGGGCCGCTGCCCGCGCGGCGTGGCTCACTGCCCAGGGTCTGGAAGGAGGGCGCCCGTCCGAGCTTGCGGCTGAGAGGCCGCCTCCGCCGGGGCAGCCCGGGCGCCCACCGGGAGCCGGAGGGGTGGAGAGGCCGGGCCGGGCGCGCGGCAGGACGGGTGGCTCCTCCCCCGGTCCCGCCGCCGGGGATCTGGGCGCGGGGCCGGCGCCGCGGGTGCCGCAGCCCTTTCCGGGGGGCGGGCCTGGCGGCGGTGGCCACAGCAGCTCCTGCCCCGACAGGTGCGCGCTGCGCGCAGGAATGCGGCCCGCCTGACTCACCAGCGCCTCCTTCCCACCTGCGCCGCCGCCCCATAAAGCGCGCCCCTCTCTCCCCGCCACCGCCGCCCTCCCGACAGTCTCGGCCCCAGACGCCCCAGCCCGACCGCTGAGCCCGGCCAGGCGCGGAGGGCGCAAGGCAGCGCCGAGGTAGGTGCAGTCGGCCCCTCGGGGCAGGCGCCGGGAGCCCAGGCGCTGGGCGGGAGGGCAGGGGCGCCGGGGCTGGCCGGGAGAAAGTGAGTGCCCACCCCATCCCGGGCGATCGCGCTGAGGACCTGCTGAACTTTTGTTTCCCCTTCTCCTCCCTGAAGTCTGGCAGACCCTGGTTCTCTCTGCCCACGCTGCCCAGGGCAGGTGCCGGCGGCCCGAGTGTGCCCAAGGCTGCCAGGAGCAAAGGGTAGGGGCAACTGGAGAAGGACGGTGGCCAGCAGATCTCCCGCTAGAGGAGGGAATTGGATGGATGTACGAAATAGGTGGGCAGAAGCCCCCAGCTGGCAGGCCTCTGGGTTGCACCCCTCTAGGGTTTGCAGAGAGAGTGGGAAAGCAGGCACGCTGAGAGGCAGTCGCCCTCCCTGTTCCTTCGGGGTGTGGGGAGTCCCTGACTTTCCTCCTCTTGGCCAGCCCCCTGCCTGCTCTCTTCCCAAAGTCCTCTGGGCAGCTCTCCTGACCTCACCCAGCAGCCCTGGGGTTGTGCCTCCCTCATAAACCTCTTCCCCACAGCCTCTGGGGTGGCCCTTGGGCTGTCACTGTGGTTCAGGGGCTCCAGATTTCTCCCACGGACAGGGACAGGGTTCTTCTCCTCCCTCAGCCTTGCCACACCCTGGGTACAAGGAGGGGGCTGGGGTGGCATGGCTGTTGCTCTCCCCTAGAGAGCTGGAAGTGAAGGCTGAGTCTTCAAGGGGGGTTGGAAGAGAGGGAGGATAGCTGCAGGGTCAGCAGGGAAGGGGTGTCCGTCTCCTTAGCCCTGATTTCCCAGGACCCCCAGGCTTCTAAGGGTGAAGGCCTAGGCCCTCCAGACTGAAGAGCTATGGTGGGCAGCAACAGGCTGCCTGGGTGGTCCCATGGGCAGGAGGAAGAAGAGGCACTGGAGACTCTAAGCCTGTGCTTCTGCAGTGTACTCCATTCAGGGGGGCAGCCCTATACTCCATGGACAGAGCTCATACAGGAAGTCCCAGTAGTACTGGGCTCCGGGGTGGCCTGTAGAGCAGTACCCTGCGTGATGGGCCCTGATTGCCATGGCCATGTAGTTCAATAAACCCATGATCCTAACTTACATGAAATCTCCTTGTTTCCACAATTGGCAACTACTTTAAAAATTTTTTAAATGCAAGTTGAATCAAACAAAACAGTGCCTATCTAACCCCCGACTGCCATTTTATAGCCTCTGAGTATAACATGGAGGATCAGTGTGAAGTCTGCACTGCCTGGGCCCCGAGGGAAGCGCTGCCACCTTTTGTGCCTCATCTATGGCCTTAGAAATGGGCACATGCAAGCCTCTCCCTCTGGGGTCCTGGGTAGATTCGACAGCAATCCTGTAGATGAAGTGCTGGGTGCATGTTGCTGGTGTAAGTCAGCCCTGTGTGCCGGGTCTGTGGACACGTGGTGGGTGAGTGCAGGCTGGGCTTGGGCCTCCAGTGCCTGTACCTGCCTGGATAGTGGTGCCCCAGGGAGGCTGAGGCCAAGCCTGTATTGTTTAGCATGTGGGTGTGGTGCCTATACCCCGAGGCTGCAAGAAATCATATCCCGGCTGACTCAGGGCTCCCTTCTGAGCCATTACCCTGGTAGGGCGGCACCTCCCCTGCAGCTCTGCCTGGAGCTGCTGTGCCTGGTGGAGGGGGGGGGTGCAGTGCCTTCCTGCAGTTTACCTGAAGGGCCTCTGCAGCACTGCAGGGGCTTTAGTCCCCCCCCCTCGCCCCCCAGGTCCTGGGGCTGCCCCTGCCCCACAAGAGGGGGGCTGAGAAGGGATTCAAGGAGGGTAAGTGGGCATAGTGTCCTCTGGGCCCCTGGGAGATCTGACCCTAGAGAAAGAGGTGTGGCGCTGGCCTTTGTCCTCTGCTCTGCAGGCCCAAGTGTTCATATGGCTAGCTTCTTTCCTTCCCAAAACTTCAGGCTACTGTTCAGGCCTTTGGGATGCCTGAGCCTACCCTGAAGGTCACTGATGAGTTGAGATAGTTTAATGGGGTTACACTGTTCAGGGGTCCTGAGAAGTCAACTCTGAGGCCAGGGGAGGTATTTGGAAGGGCAAAAGGGCTTAGACCTGTGGGCTGGCTGTAGCTCAGTGGTAGAGCACTAGCCACCTTGCATGCATGAGGACTGGGTTGGATCCTCAGCACCACGTGAAAATAAACACATAAGACATGTGCAGTGGCACACGCCTGTAATCCCAGCAGCTTAGGGGGCTGAGACAGGAGGATCCTGAGCCAGCCTCAGCAGCAGTGAGGCGCTGAGCATCTCAGTGAGACCCTGTCTCTAAATAAAAATCAAAATAGGGCTGGGGAAGTGGCTCTGTGATTGAGTACTCAGTTCTGAGTTCAATACCCAGTATCCAGAAATTAAGTAAATAAATACGTAAAATAAAGATATTTTGTCTATGCACACCTAAAAACAAATAATTTTAAAAAGGGGAGCTTAGACCCCATCCTGACGGGTCAGCGGCCAGCACAGAGCTCGGCAATGTGAGAAAGCCGTCTCACCCTATCCCTGGCCCCAGATACTGGGAAGGGCTCCTCTTTTGTCCCTGAGCCAGAACAGAGGGGGCAAAGGGTAGATCCATCCTAAGGAGGGCTTCTTTATTGGGTGACCCTGTCCTTGCCAAGCCTGACCAGGCCCACTGAAGAGCAAAGGCAGAATAAGCCCTGCCCTGCCCTTGAGGAGACCAGTACCAAGAGACCTGGCACTGGCATAAGCTTGGAGCCCAAAGTCTTAAAGAGCAGAGAGAACCTTTCTGTGCAGGAAGGGGGCAGTGGAGAAGATGGGAGTGACATCCCTGGGCCTTTGGTGATCAGGACAGCTCTCGGAGCCTCAATTTCCACACCTGCACTTTGGAGTAGTCTTGCCTCTTCTGAGGAGCTATGATGGAGATCCAGTGCACTGAAGGCACCAACCAAGGATGAAGAGGTGTCATGTGTCCATTGTTGTGGTTTTGTAGGAGGAAGAAGATGGCAGGGCCACATCCCAATCCGTGGGTCAGGCTGCTGCTGGCAGCTCTACTGAGTGTCAGCTTTCCTGGGAGCACAGGTGAGTCTACATGGTCCTGCAGCCCCCTCTTGGGGAGGAGCACCTCTCATGGGGCCTCTCCAGACTCTTGGCTGTCCAACAGCTGACCACTGCGCCCCTCCAGGCCTGGAGAACTTGAGGCTTTATGCCCTGCATCAGAGAGAGACGTGAGCCCTGCTGGGTGGCCTGGCACTGAGGGAAAGGAGCCTGTAGAGGAGAGAAAAGCTGCCTGCTCCGAGGAGAAACTGAGGCTCCCTGGTGGAGCTGAGGTTTCCCAGGGATTTCAGGGAGAGAGACTGCTAAATATCACCCGCTGTCTGAGTGTCCCCGTTGGCAAATGATGCGAGCCATCCCCTGCCAATCAAACTTCCCCCATTAAGCCAGGTATATTGGTGGCCCCCGTAGCCCCAGCTCCCTGGAAGACTGAGGTAGGAGGATCACTCGAGCCCAGGAATTCAGAGTCAGCCTGAGCAACATAGTGAAACCCCATCTCACACAAGCCCCCATCTCAAAAATAAATACACAAGCAGGGCGCAATGACACATGCCTGTAATCCCAGCAGCTGGGGAGGCTGAGACAGGAGGATTGTGAGTTCAAAGTCAGCCTCAGTAATTTAGCGAGGCCCTCAGCAACTCAGTTGAGACCCTGTCTCTAAATAAAATATAAAAAAGGGGCTGGGAACGTGGCTCAGTGGTTGAGTACCACTGAGTTCAATCCCCAGGACCAATAAATAAATAAATACACAAATAAATTTTCCCTGTCAATTGAGGTTGTATTGATAGCTTGAAATAGACCGTGATAGGAACACTTACACCACAGAAATTGGCAAACAGCAAGTCAGGGCTTCCTCTCCCTGTTCAACAATGTTCTTCCCAATGTTCAACAATGTTCAATGTTGAACATTGACCAATATTGACCAACACACCATAGTCTGGAGTCCAGGAGACCACCCACTATATACATGGGTGCACATAGTAGGCCTTAGTGTGTTCTAACTGAACAGACCCAAGGGGAACCTCAATGACCTTTGGGAGAACTCTGGAGTTTTCCTTACTGAGGACCTACTGTGTGTTGGGTTTTGTGCTAGGTGATAAACTTGACAGAACTGGTCCCCTGGACCCCAGAGGAGGCTCAAAAGACAAATGAGTCCCATGGGAATTATTGTGTGGGAAAGTATGAACTACGATGGGAGAAACCGACAAAGGGCAGGGTGCCCTCGGTGTGGCTCACAGAAGGTGTTGGGGAAGATGGAAGTATCTCCAGGACCTGGGGAGTTAGTGGCAAGGGGGACAACCAGGCCCTGCCAGCCAGCAAATGATGGCCAGCACCTTCGTCCCAGCTGTGCCCTCCTTCCCATCAGACTTGAGTGGAGCGTCCAGGCTTGAGATCTGGCTCAGAGAAAAGCTGCCTGCTCCGAGGAGGAACTGAGGCTCCCTGCTGGAGCTGAGGTTTTATTTTCTGCAGAGCTCTGCAGCCAGCTGCTGCACCTTGGGTGACCGTTTCCCCTTCCATACAGTTGGGAGGGCATCCCCATTCCTGGTGGAGGGTGCAGGCTGGAAAGGGTGTGGTAACCAGAGAGGCCCTCTCCATGAGCTTGCCTCTTGCCCCTCTGCCCCCAGCCAACCTCTGCAAGAAGGCTCAGGTGAAGAGCTGCACGGAGTGCATCCGTGTGCACCCGGACTGCGCCTACTGCACGGACGAGGTGAGCTGCTGTGCAGGGCTATTCGGGGCCAGCCCAGGGCCACTTCTCCAACCTGCACACACCCCTTGCCACACCCTAACTCTGGCTGTGGCCAACTCCACCCTTGCCACCCCCGCAGCCTGACCCTGGGGCCAGGTGGGTGTGGAGAAGAGGCAAGGGTCAGGAACAGCAGGGGAAAATGAATTCAGGGTTGGGACAGCCAGGGGATGGGCACCACCCCCATGGACCCCTCTGCTTCTGGCCAGATGTTCAAGGAGCGGCGCTGCAACACCCAGATCGAGCTGCTGGCCGCAGGCTGCCGGCAGGAAAGCATAGTGGTCATGGAGAGCAGCTTGGAGATCACAGAGGTGCCTGGAGCAGGGCGGGGGCTGGGCTCTCCTTGCACAAGGCTTGCTGGTTGTGGGGGCCATGGTGCCCCCTAGCAAGGCTGAGAGGCTCCCCTCAGGTCTCTCAAGTGAACTTCCAATCAGCTTCCCCCTTGACACTCAGTTCCTTTCCCTGGACACAGGAGACCCAGATCGATACCACCCTCCGCCGCAGCCAGGTGTCCCCCCAGCGCCTACAGGCCCGCCTGCGACCGGGCGAAGAGCGGCACTTTGCACTCGAGGTGTTTGAGCCCCTGGAGAGCCCTGTGGACCTGTATATCCTCATGGACTTCTCCAACTCCATGTCCGACGACTTGGACAACCTTAAGAAGATGGGGCAGGACCTGGGTACAGCTGGGCCAGTGTGCAGGACAGTGGAGGTCGGGGGCAGATCTCACCCAGCTGGCTCAGGACAGCAGCACCCACCTCTCAAGGAAAGATGGGACATCTGATCCCCAGAGAAATATGTCTCCCCCCATTCTCAGGGGAGGGTCCCGGCCAGATCCCTCACCACTCGACTTCAGACAGGTCTGGTGGGCAGCAGAGCCCTTTGGCCTTGACTAGGAAGGGCACCCCCTGCCACAGCTGTGGATAAGTCTCAGCGCTACAGAGGGAGCTGGGCTCAGTTCCCCCTGCCAATCCCCTGCTTACTAGATACATTGTCCCAGGTCCCAAATTCCATTTCCCTCAACTGTAACTAGGGACAAAAGCTACTGAGAGTACCAGGAAACGTCCAGTGTACAAAGGGCTAAGAGGTGGTGGCTCCTGCCCAGCTCCCCTCTTCCTGAGCCAGCCCAGGTGCCCCTGTGTCCATGGCGGGTACTAGGGCTCACTGTCCTCTCTTTTTCTGGTGCATGCCCAGCCCAGGTCCTGAGCCAGCTCACCAGTGACTACACTATTGGATTTGGCAAGTTTGTGGACAAAGTCAGCGTCCCTCAGACAGACATGAGGCCCGAGAAGTGAGTGACCGAGCAGGCCCCGGGTGGGCAGCGGTGCTGGCTGGGTGATCCACTTCCTTCCTGCGTGGAAGAGTGCAGGGTCTCCCCCTTTCTAACGCTCTCTCCCTCCCACCTCTGCCCAGGCTGAAGGAACCCTGGCCCAACAGTGACCCTCCATTCTCCTTTAAGAACGTCATCAGCTTGACGGAGGATGTGAACGAATTCCGGAGTAAGCTGCAGGGAGAGCGGATCTCAGGCAACCTGGACGCTCCTGAAGGTGGCTTTGATGCCATCCTGCAGACAGCTGTGTGCACGGTGAGCTCAGGGAGGGGCACTGCTGGCCTCAGCCAGGGCCGCTGCTTCTTGGCGGGGGAATGAGCCACCCACCAGCGTGTGCAAGTGTCCTGGAGCCTGTGATCCCATGTCCTGAGACAAACTCAGACCCTTTGGGTGGCCCTCATTTCTAGTCCAGGTTTGGATGTGCTGGGACCAAGGTCCCCCCACCTAAGCAGTCACAGCCTGGTTCTGTGCCAGCCTTGGAGTTCCGGAATCTTCAGTGCACCTTCAGGCCAGCCTCCCAGTGAATCTTACAGGCCCCACGGGCTGCCAGTCTCCAACTGTGCTGGCGGCCGAAATGGCTACTTCTTTCTATGTGAACAGCAATTTTTTCATTTTGAAAATAACATATCCACATTGAAGGCAATTTAGAAGACAAAGAACAGAAATTGCTCATTATCTTACCACCGTCAGCCAGCCACTCCACGTCCCGCCAGCATTTTGTCTCTTGTCCTTATTTCACACACTCGGTTTGGTGTACTTATAATTCTGAAACTTGCTCTTTTTTCTCCACTTAATGCTCTCATAAACATTTTCTCTTGTAATATATAGTTTTCAAAATCTTCAGAATCACCCCCCGTGTTTTTCTAACAGAGAGCTAATACACTGCTGTGCCTATTTTAACTGGCCTTTTGCATTTACCGTTTACCACTGATGAGGTTAACATACTCTTGCAGGGTGGTTAAGAGCTTGGGGGAGGGGGAGTCCCACAAGCCTGGCTGAATCTGCCCACTGTGTGCCCACACTGCAGCCAGTGCCCTCCCCCATCAGCACTTCAGGTTTTCCTCTGTCGTTGCATGCTGTCACAGGCTATTCTCATGTGCCTTAAACCCGGCCCCGTGTTGGGACCTGCTTCCCCTGCCCTACATGGCATTAGAATGCAGGTCCTCAACAAGCAGCCCATGCCCTCCCTGCCTTCCCCAGGGGGCCATCGGCTGGCGCCCCGACAGCACCCATCTGCTGGTGTTCTCCACTGAGTCAGCCTTCCACTATGAGGCCGATGGTGCCAACGTGCTGGCTGGCATCATGAGCCGCAATGATGAGAAGTGCCACCTGGATGCCACGGGCACCTACACCCAGTACAATATGCAGGACTACCCTTCAGTGCCCACGCTTGTGCGCCTGCTCGCCAAGCACAACATTATCCCCATCTTCGCTGTTACCAACTACTCCTACAGCTACTATGAGGTACAGGCCTGGGCCCCACTGGGCAAGAGGGGCAGGGCAGGGTGTCCCCGGAACTTCCCAGCCACCCATCCCTCTCCTCCTTCCTTCCCTCCCAAAGCTGTGGGCCCCTGGAGGGAAGGTCATGTGCCCGTCCCCTATCCCAGCTCCCAAGGAGGTGGGGGCTGAGAGGAAAATTCTGGAACATGCTGTCAAAATTCCAGACCTCAGTTTTCCCAAAGCGGGGGTCATCCTAGAACTGTTGTCCAGATTCAAAGAGACGCTTAGTCCGAGGCTGGCCCTCTCTCCTACAGAAGCTTCATACATACTTCCCGGTCTCCTCGCTGGGGGTGCTGCAACAGGACTCATCCAACATCGTGGACCTGCTAGAAGAAGCCTTCAATGTGAGGCACAGAGTCTGAGCCCTCCTGGGGCTGGGCTAGGAAGAGGGCAGAGTGGGCAAGGGGTGGAATAGGCCAGTAAGGAAGGGTCTCTGGCAGTCCCTGGGGGCTTGAGGGTCACCCGGATCTGGTGCCAAGCTCCTGGAAGCTCTGCCGCCGTGATCCCACACACATGCCCACACATGCCCTCCATCTGGGTGGGGCAGAGCACAGCCAGACCAGGCCAGGCCAAGGTGGGAGAGCCCAGGCTGCCCCCAGACCACTGATTGTCTGCCTTCCCTTAGCGCATTCGCTCCAACCTCGACATCCGGGCCCTAGACAGCCCACGAGGGCTGCGGACAGAGGTCACCTCCAAGATGTACCAGAAGACAAAGTCAGGGTCCTTTCACATCAGGCGGGGAGAAGTGGTATGTTCCTGTGGGTGCAATGGGACAGGGATGGACATGGCACCCTGCGAGGAATGGAGTCCTCTAACTGGGTGTGAGCTTGGCGCTGGGGTCAGGTGGGCCTGGGGTCAGGTCCGCAGGGTCTGCCCTTGGGGAGCTTGGCACATGCCTGGACTCGTCTGTACCCTTGTCCACACTGTGGGGATGAATCAGAGCATCAAGCTGAGACATGGCTCTTCTTATTGTCCTGTGGTTGTGACTGACCAGAAGGAAGGGGTCCCCAGCCCCAAGGAAGGATGAGCAGGGACCTGGGGGTCAGGAATTCAGGCCCATCCTGAGAGCCGAGGACCCCCAGGCACAAACAGCCCCCTGGTCTATGCGGCAGGGGCCTGCCTTGGGTGACCTTGGGATCCCTGCAGGGAACTTACGATGTGCAACTGCGGGCTGCGGAAGACGTGGATGGAACACACGTGTGCCAGCTGGCGGAAGAGGACCAGAGGGGAAACATCCACCTGAAGCCCTCCTTCTCCGACGGCCTCTGGATGGACGTGGGCATCATCTGTGACGTGTGCACCTGCGAGCTGGTACAAGGCAGCCCCCTGGGTGGGAGAGCAGAGCTGAGCTGGGCCCTGACTCAGGGAGCAGAGCCTCCTGGGGCCACACCTCCCTTGCAGGCTGTCCCAAGACACAGAAGGCAGCAGAAGTGCCCCGTGGCTCTGGACCCCCTCCCTCCACACACTCCCCATGGTCTTGTTCTAGCAAAAAGAGGTGCGGTCAGCTCGCTGCGACTACCACGGAGACTTCATGTGTGGACACTGTGTGTGCAACGAGGGCTGGTGAGTGGGGGAGGGCAGCCCAGCCCCCAGGATCTCCCCTGCAGGGCTCTGACCCTGGGCCCTGACCCTGTACACCTTGAGCTGTGTGTGTGTGGGGGGCAGATCTCAGAAAGAGCTAGAAGAGGGGTACACTTTTACCAGTTGTTGGGTAAATCCAGTTCAGAGCATTTAGAATGTCACAATTTAGGATTTTTCAGGTTGCTTTTTTCCCCCCACACATGGGATTAATCCCAGATTGACCACTGAGCTACCTCCCTAGTCTTTGTTTTTTGTTTTGAGCAAGTTCTCACTAAATTACTAAGGGTCTCACTAAATTGCTGAGGGTCTCCCTAAATTGTGGAGGCTGACCTCAAACTTGGATTCCTCCTACCTCAACCTCCCCAGTCGCTGGGACTGCATCACACTCAGCAGGAAGAGCTTTTAAAGCCGCAAGATACTGGCAAAAACGAAAACAAGAGGCAGGTACACACACTGGTAATCTCAGCGACTCAGGAGGCAGAGGCAGGAGAAGCTCAGCAACTTAGTGAGACCCTCAGAAACTCAATGAGACTAGGACCCATCTCAAAATAAGAAAAAATAAAAAAGGACTGGGGGTGTAGTACAGTGAAACAGTGCCCCTGGGGTCAATCCCCAGTACAAAAAAAAAAAAAAGCTTTAAGACACTGGCTCTGAATGATGGCATGGACCCATTGTCCCAGTTACTCTGGAGGACAAGGTAGGGAGAGTAACTTCAGCCTGGGAAACATAGCAATATTTTATCTCAAAAAATTAAAAATTAAAGCTTTGAGAGGTTGAACAAGTCTGTCATGACTCGAGGTAGACAAATAGCAAGGAAGGGACTCTGGGGGGGTGGTAACGAGGCCCGGAGGCTCATTCACTGTTCTCTGTGTGACTTGCACCTGCCTCAGCCCTCTCAGAACATCAGTCTCTTCATCTGTAAAATGGGGCAGTAAAAGCCCAACTGTCTTCCCAGGCTCAGGGAAAGTGTCAATTCCTCCCTCAGGAGCGGCAAGACCTGCAACTGCTCCACTGGCTCACTGAGTGACACTGAGCCCTGCATCCGCGAGGGTGAGGACAAGCCATGCTCAGGCCGCGGGGAGTGCCAGTGCGGACGTTGCGTGTGCTATGGTGAAGGCCGCTATGAGGGTCACTTCTGCGAGTATGACAACTTCCAGTGTCCCCGCACCTCCGGGTTCCTCTGCAATGGTGAGTTCAGCAGCTTCAACCAGTGCCAAGGACAGTGACCCTCCCTTCAGGACCCAGCTGGAGAACCAGGCCAGGGGCCAAGATCTGCAATTCGGACCAGGCCCACTCCCAACTCCATGAGGGACTCTCCCAAGTCTTGCCCCAACCTGGACCTCACCTCCCTCACCTGCAATGTCCATGCCCAAGGGCCCTGTCAGGATGACGTGCCTCCTATTTTTAAACCCTGATTCACCTGGGTTAGTGTCCATGCCTATAATCCCATGCTGAGTCAGGAGGATCCAAGTTCAAGGGCAGTCTCAGCAATTTAGCAAGACCCTGTCTCTAAGTAAAAAGGAAACAAGGCTGGGGATGGAGCTCAGGGGTGAAGGGCTTGCCTCGCATGCATTGCCACCTCTCCATCCTCTCAACTCATCCTAGGGTGGGGACCACCCAGTTCAACGCTCTGCTTGGCAGGCATGTAAGAAGGCAATCTTTCCTCTCTCCATAGACGCTCAATTTCTAGAGTTAGGCCTCCTCTGCATCTCCACAGGGCCTACACGCTCGGGCCCAGGCCATGTGCACATAGTCTGCTCAGGGCTGTCAGAGCTGAGCAGAGGGCACACAGAAGCACTGGTACTGAATGGAGGAGGTGGATATTTAAGCCCCCGCTGCTCGCTTGCCACTGTAGGTCGAGGGCCCTCCTTCTGACCCCTTCTCCATTTTTGTTTTTCTTCCATTTCTTCTCTTGAACTGTCCATCCCAAAGTGTGGCATCAGAGGAACAGAAGGGGAACCAGGTTCAGCTAGAGAATGGCAGGCATTGGGCACAAGTGGAAGGGTCAGAGAAGATGAGAGGAGATGCCTCTAGGAAGGGGCCAGACTGCAAGGAGCTTGGGTTCTAGTCATTTTGTCCAAAGGACTTTATCCCTGAACAAAAAGAGTCGATGTCATTTTTTTAATATATTTTTTTTTAGTTGTAAGTGAACATAATACCTGTATTTTATTTTTATGTGGTGCTGGGATCGAACCCAGTGCCTCACACGTGCTAGGTGAGCACTCTGCCACTGAGCCCCAGCCCCAGCCCTCAATGTCATTTAATTTTTTTTTCTTTTTGTAGTTGTAGGTGAATAGCATATCTTGTTTTTTATTTTTTGGAGGGTACTGGGTATTGAACTCAGGGACACTTGACCACTGGGCCACATCCCCAGCCCTATTTTGTATTTTATTTAGAGACAGAGTCTCACTGAGTTGCTTAGCACCTCGCCATTGCTGAGGCTGGCTTTGAACTCACGATCCTCCTGCCTCAGCCTCTCGAGCAGCTGGCATGCACATACCTTTATTTTATTTGTTTATTTTTATGCTGTGCTGAGGGTGGAACCCAGTTTTTCACACATGCTAGGCAAGTGCTCTGCCACTGAGCCACAAGCCCAGCCCGAGTTGTTGACATTTTAATTTCATTTTTGGTTTGTATGTTTACTTTGTATCCAGCCACTTACGCAAACTATTTATCTGTAAATTCTTCTGGATATCTTGTAATAAGTTCCTGATACTTATAAATAATGACAGTTTTTTTCTTACTTTCTAATACCCCGACATTTTCTTCTTACCTATTGCATTGGCCAGGACCTATTAGAGATTCTTATTGGATTTACAATTTGAGATATTCACTCCGGCTGCAGAATAGAAGGTAGTAGGCAGAATGATGGGTGGGGAGAGATGGACGAAGGCAATTCTAGGAGCCTGAGGGAGAGGTGGCCTTTGCCCCTGGCTCCCCCAGACCCTCCCAGCAGATGGGTCACCTGGACTGTGGTGCGATATGGCCCTCCCCCCCCTTCTCTACCCTCTCTGCAGACCGGGGACGCTGCTCCATGGGCCAGTGTGTGTGTGAGCCTGGTTGGACAGGCCTGAGCTGTGACTGTCCCCTCAGCAATGCCACCTGCATCGACAGCGATGGGGTAGGCCTGGGCGTGGGGCAGACACTGGGAGGGCCCCAGTCAGGACCACTCATCTTCTCCAGAGGACACCTAGTAGAGAAAGGGGAAAGGAACAGGCAGGGATGGGGCACAACTGGCTCATTTTGATCCCTCCTGCCCCAGGGCATCTGTAATGGGCGTGGCTACTGCGAGTGTGGCCGCTGCCACTGCAACCAGCAGTCGCTCTACACGGACACCACCTGCGAGATCAACTACTCAGCGGTGAGGCCAGGATCCCTGGGGTGTGGGCGTGGGAACCCCAGGCACTGGGCAGGGTGGGCAGGAGTGGCTGAACCTGCTGCCACAGGAGGTGGCACGAGGCTGGGGGAGTGCCTTCCACGCAGCACAGTCTCCCCCTTCTCTCCCAGATCCGCCTGGGCCTCTGCGAGGACCTGCGCTCCTGTGTGCAGTGCCAGGCCTGGGGCACTGGGGAGAAGAAGGGGCGCATGTGCGAGGAGTGCAGCTTCAAGGTCAAGATGGTGGACGAGCTCAAGAAAGGTAGAGGGGAGGGTCTGAGAGCTGGGGTGCTGTGAGCCTAGGTGGGGCTAACAGGTCCTCCTCTGAGCAAGGGCTTCCTCTGGGCAAGTTGAGGTCACACAGTCTGGACAGGGGTTCCAGAGCTGGGGGTGGGCACAGAACACCAGCAACAGTGAGCCCAAGAAAGAGGTAGAAAGTCTGGGCAAGCGGCACAGGACCCAGGCAGTGAACAGAGAATGGCCCAGAACACAGAATGGGGGCTGGGGGCACATGATTAGGCTTGAGGGCACGCAGATGAGTAAGGGACAAAGTCTGGGGAGGAGGCATCTGGCATGGGCAGGGACATGACCCGGCAGAGACCCAGGGCCCAGGTGGGGCCCACAGTTGGGCTATGGAGTGCACGGCCTCCTCCCTCTAGGCCAGATGTGTGGCCTGGACTCCACGCTCCTGGGGGTGCTCAGGTCAGGGAAGTGGAGACAGCTTTGCAGACTCCCGTGCTGCTGGGGCCTGCACTGGGCGAGGTGCCCCTGCCACCGTCTCTGCGGCAAGGAGGGGCAGAGCTTGAGAGATCTTACAGCCTTTCCCAGGGAGACGCCCCAGGCCCTGCAGTGGGCAGGGTGGGCCACAGGTTTGGGGTGCCTCACTGGGCCACGGAGTGCCCCAGGGTGGAGGGGTGTGTCGGGTCCCTGCTGACCGCTTGTGGGTGCAGCTGAGGAGGTGGTGGAGTACTGCTCCTTCCGGGACGAGGACGACGACTGCACCTACAGCTACACCGTGGAGGGTGACGGCTCCCCGGGGCCCAACAGCACCGTCCTGGTGCACAGGAAGAAGGGTGAGCTGGGGGTGCTGGGAGTGGGCGCTGTCCGGTCTGGGCCAGGCACGGCGGGCACGGCCTCCCTCCACTCTCTCTGCAGACTGCCCTCCCGGCTCCTGGTGGCTCATCTTCCTGCTCATCCCCCTCCTGCTGCTGCTGGCACTGCTGCTGCTGCTCTGCTGGAAGTACTGTGCCTGCTGTAAGGTGAGCCCCGGGGTCCTCCCGGGTCCGCCTGGGGTCCCACAGAGTCCCCACTCTCCCCATGGCTCCCCTGTAGCCCTCCCAGAGACTTCGGCGCTTGGAGCCAGACTGTCTGGATTCTGGTCCCAGCTGTATGACTTTGAGCAAGTTACTTAATCTCTCTGTGCCTCAAGCTTCCTCATCTGTACAATGGAGCTAGCAGCACTGACCCCTGAAAGTGCTGACAAAGTTTGGATTAGTTATGGGAAGTTCTTAGAAAGGGACTGACCTTGGGGAAACACCATGTTAAGCCCTGGCTTCTTCCCACCCCTTCTGGAGCCTGGCTCCTGAAGACCCTACTAACCCAGCCCCAAGCCTGTGTCACTCCTAAGGGACAATGGTGACAAAGCCTGTGAGTCTCCCTGTGCTCTGTTTTTCCTGGAGCCTGCTCCCAATGTAATTCCCCTGTGGCTCTCTGTGCCATAACAATGGTGTGTGGCCACACAACTTTATTTTCTCCTCTCAATCGTCCCATGAGGTCAGTGGCACTATCCCCTATGACAGGTGGGGAAACTGAGGCTCAGAGGGACAGGTGATAGAGACAAAGTCAAAGTTCTGTCGGATAAGATGGCGCATGCCTGTAATCCCAGTGACTTGGGAGGCTGTGGCAGGAGGATCACAAGTTGAAAGCCAGCCTCAGCAATAGCGAGGCACAAAGCAACTCAGTGGGACCCTGTCTCTAAAAAAAAAATACAAAATAGGGCTGGGGATGTGGCTCAGTGGTCGAGTGCCCCTGAGTTCAACACCCAGTACCAAAAAAAAAAAAAACCAAGGGGCTGGGGTTATGGCTCCATGGTAGAGCACTCGCCCAGCACGTGCAAGGTCCTGGGTTCGATCCTCAGCACCACATATAAATAAAATAAAGTTTAAAAAAAAAAAAAAACAACTCAAAGTCCTCGTAAGTGTCAAGGCGAGGTGAAGCCACATCCCTGGCTCTAGCATCTCCCGCCACAGTCCCTCCCTCCACTGACCATCAGTGGCCACACTCCAGGAACATGGGTCAGCTCCCTGCAAGCGCCAGGGAACAACCAGGAGCTGACAGCCTGGCTGCACAGAAAAGCCCAGAGACAGGAAGTGTGGAGGGTGCAGAGCACAGAGGCTGATTGTAGGGCAGGGCAGCATGCTGTCCTATCCCGGGGTTAGTGGACGTTCCTGTCTGTGGCATGGAAGGGGAGGCCTGTGAGCGGGTTTCTTAGCCGGGCGCAGTGGCACATGCCTGTAATCCCCGTGGCTCAGGAGGCTGAAGCAGGAGGATCGCGAGTTCAAAGCCAGCCATCATCTAAATAAAATACAGAATAGGGCTGGGGATGTGGCTCAGTGGCTGAGTGCCCCTGAGTTCAATCCCTGGTACCAACAAAAGAAAGAAAGAAAGAGGTTCTTTCTTGGCAGGGCTTCTTAGAGCCTATGGTCTCGTCATTTGCTCACTGAACTTGAAAGAGGCCGGGTGGCTGGAGGGGCTTCCCTGGGCTGGGACAGCTCTTGAGGTGCTCACGCCAGCCCCCTTGTCTCCTAGGCCTGTCTGGCACTTCTCCCTTGCTGCAACCGAGGTAAGGGCCTGGCATGGGCAGCTGGGGTGGAGGGGCAGTGGGGCCAGGCCGGGAACAGGGGAGGTGGGAGGCTCTCACCCCACCTGTCTGGGTGCGACTGGGCAGGTCTGGGGAGTGCTTGTGCTGAGGACCCTTCCCAACAGGTCACATGGTCGGCTTTAAGGAAGACCACTACATGTTGCGGGAGAATTTGATGGCCTCAGACCACCTGGACACACCCATGCTGCGCAGTGGGAACCTCAAGGGGCGGGACACGGTCCGCTGGAAGATCACCAACAACGTGCAGCGGCCTGGCTTTGCCACCCACGCCGCCAGCACCAACCCCACAGAGCTCGGTGCGGGCCCAGGCTGGGCACTGCGGACCTTGGCAGTGCCTTTGGGCCCTTGGGGACCTCTGTTCTAGACTGGGGATCACACTGATCCTGGGTGCTGGGCACAGGCCTCAGCCTCTTCTGTCCCTTCCTGATGTGCCTCAGGCCTGCATGTGGCAGCCCTCTGCCCCCCGCTGGCCAGAGGTCTCCAGGATCCTGGGGTGGAGGGTGTTCAACCGTGCCCACGGGGCAGGGGCTGATGAACCCTCCATCCCACCCGCCTCTAGTGCCCTATGGGCTGTCCCTGCGCCTTGCCCGCCTCTGCACCGAGAACCTGATGAAGCCTGGCACTCGAGAATGTGACCAGCTGCGCCAGGAGGTGGAAGAGAATGTGAGAACCGGTGCGGCCAAGCCAGGGCTCTGGGCTCGGGGGCGATGGCAGCGGGGGGGGGGGGAGAGTGAGGTGACCTGGACCTCTCTGGACAGGAAAGGGGCTCTCTGGATACATGCCTGGTGTGGTGAGGTCATCCTGGGGGGCACCAGACTCTGGTCTCGGGACCTGGCCCCCAGCTTGCCCCAGCCAACTCTGAGAGGTCCCGGGGTAGGGTGTGCGCGGCTCTCCGGGCGCAGACTGACGCCCTCCCTTGTCTGGCAGCTCAACGAGGTGTACAGACAGGTCCCTGGTGCACACAAGCTCCAGCAGACAAAGTTCCGGTGAGTCCCAAATGCCCAGGGTGGGGGCAGCCAGCCGCTCTGAGCCCTGCCAGTCCAGGCCATGCGGCAAGAGTCCCTGGAGTTGGGTGACCGCTGACCACTGCTCATACACAGACTACGGAGCTCAAGCCCCCAGGCAGATCATGCACCTACCCCAGGGAACATCTGGTTCATGGTCTCCTCTTTGTCTCCACAGGCAACAGCCCAATGCTGGGAAAAAGTGAGTTGAAGAGCCATGTGGGACAGCGCCCTCCTGTCCCTCTTGCCCCAGCCCTGCCACCTGTCCTCTGCCCCTTGCTCCACCCCTGTCTCCACCCCGTGGGAAGGGAGGGCCATATGTGCCATCATGGGTGAGCCTTCCGTTGGCTCCTTTACTGGACCATTCTTCTAACGAATTCCAAAGGAAGCGCTTGCCTGAGTGAGCAGCCCCAGGTTGGCAGAACCACACAGACCAGTGCCCACCTTTGGTCTGGTGACAGTCTACCACCCAACCCCAAGGACAGTCCAGGCCTGGCTCATCCTCCCCTGGGTCAGAGACCCTCCAACCGAGTGAGAGGCAGATGGGCCAGCAGGTCACACAGTCCTTTCCCCAGTTCTTGAGTCCTGGCCCTTTGGGAAGGGGGAACATGAAACGGAGGTCGCACTGCAGAGAGAGCAGAACCAGAACAACAGCTCAACACCTTCAGGAAGAAGCCTCGGCTGATGGTATTGAGTGCTTACAAGGGCCAGGCATTGTTCTAAGGGCTCCCTGGCCATCTTTATCCAACCCTCTCAGCAGCCCTGCGAGAGAGGTACCATTGCTGTTCCCATTTTACAGATGAGGAACCTGAGGCTCAGAGAGGTTAAGTAACTTTCCCAAGGTTACCTAGCTATCAAGAACCAGGTCAGGGGCTGGGGATATAGCTCAGTTGGTAGAGTGCTTGCTTCACATGCACAAGGCTCCGGGTTCAGTCCCCCCACTCCCCAAAAAGGAATCAGAGCCAGGACTTGAAGCCAAGCAGTCTGATGTGAGCACCTGCCCTCAGCATCTCTGCTGTCCCACATCCAATCCTCCCACCATCAGCCCTTGTTGGTGAGGTGGACGGAGAAGCCCATTTCTCAGATGAGAACACTAAAGCTCAGGGAGGTGCAGCAACGGCGTGGATGAGGCCATAGAGTGAGAGCAGTGGGGCCAGCAAGGCCCCTGGCACTTTTTACTGTCCCACATCTTTCCCCTGTTGGGGAGAGGACAGAAAGGTACAGGTAGGGAGAATGCCAGGCTGACCCCTCTCCTGCTGGACCCCCACCCAGGCAAGACCACACCATTGTGGACACGGTGCTGATGGCGCCCCGCTCGGCCAAGCAGACCCTCCTGAAGCTGACAGAGAAGCAGGTGGAGCAGGGGTCCTTCCATGAGCTCAAAGTGGCCCCCGGCTACTACACCCTCACTGCAGAGCAGGGTAGGTGGGGCTCCCCGCGCCGCCCCTCACCTCGCCCACCCACGTGGCCCTGAAACCCACATCTGACCCCCCCAGACGCCCGGGGCATGGTGGAGTTCCAGGAGGGCGTGGAGCTGGTGGACGTGCGCGTGCCCCTCTTCATCCGGCCTGAAGACGACGATGAGAAGCAGCTCCTGGTGGAGGCCATCGATGTGCCCGTAGGCACTGCCACCCTTGGCCGCCGCCTGGTAAACATCACCATCATCAAGGAGCAAGGTTGGTCAGGGTGCGGGGAGAGGGAGGACGAAGCGGGGTCGGACACTTTGTTCCCCCATATCCAGCTGTAGTGGGACCTGGCTGTATGGCCTGGGCCAGTCCCTCGGCAGGCCTTGGTTTGTCATCTGTTAGCTGGGTATAGCACCTGGGTGGGGCTCTTAGTCACAGGCGCTGGCCACCCCACTCTCGTTCTCTATCCAGAGGAGGGCTCAAGTGTGTCACCAGTCACCACACTGAGGGCACCTCGGGTGCTAGTGATGTCCTCTGGACAACCAGAGGGCCCCCCTGGCCCCTGACCCCCGCCCCTTGCTCCAGGATCCACAGGGCCTGCTCTGCCCTGGATGCATCCATCTGGGGCCTGCCCCTGCCTGCCCCTTTCAGATTGCCTGATGGACACTTTGTTCCAGCTCCTCAACTTTTTCTTGGAGAATATTCCATCCCATTCCTTTGCCCTCCCATGAGGGTGGTGGGGTGTGGGTAACAAATAGACCCCTAGAGTCTGGACTGGGCCAGAGGGAGGGGGAGCCAAGAGGGGACTGAGGCCAGGATCCCTGAGCAGCACCTGCGCTCCTTGCAGCAAGTGGCGTGGTGTCCTTTGAGCAATCTGAGTACTCAGTGAGCCGTGGGGAGCAGGTGGCCCGCATTCCTGTCATCCGGCGCATCCTGGACAATGGCAAGTCCCAGGTCTCCTACCGCACACAGGACAACACAGCACAGGGCAACCGGGTAAGGCTCCACCACAGGGTCAAGGGCGTGTCCCTCAAGTCGAGAGGGCATGCACTGGGTTCCTAGGACAGAGCAGGATGTGGCAGCTGCCTGGGTCCCTGGATGCTTACCCTGGCTGGCCACCCATGGACACCTGCTCCTGCCACCCTTGGCAGGGACTTCTCACCCAAAGTTCCAGTGACACCTTAGATGAGGCCCCATCACTTCCAGGGACTCAGACCAAGGGAGCCATTTCCTCCTGGATTGGCCAGGAATCTGTCCAGCCCACTCCTGTCCATCCTCCAATGACCCAGGATGACCAGGACATTCAGACATTTTCTAGGAAAGTAGACTCCCTTTCTGCCCATCCTGGGGATTTTGGCTTCTTGAGCTGGAATTTCAGGGTCCTGGTTCCTGGGCCAGGCTCCCCAATTCTGTCACTCTTGGTTCTTGCTGGGCCAAGCAGCACAGGCAGCCCTTCCAGGCAGGGAGGACCACAGCCTAATGTCCCCTCATTGCTGAGCCCCAATATCAGCAACAGCTAGAGCCAGGTGGTAAGTATGCTTGGTTTTACCTATCGGGTTTTTTTTTTTTTTTTTTGGGGGGGGGGTACCAGGGATTGAACTCAGGGGCACTTGACCACTGAGCCACATCCCCAGCCCTATTTTGTATTTTATTTAGAGACAGGGTCTCGCTGAGTTGCTTAGTGTCTCACCATTGCCAAGGCTGGGTTTGAACTCACGATCCTCTGCCACAGCCTCCTGAGCTGCTGGGGTTATAGGCGTGCACTACTGTGCCTGGTTTACCTATCAGTTTTTGATCTGTTGATTGCTTGATTATACTGGGGACCAAACCCAGAGCCTCTTGCATGCTAGGCAAGCAGTCTACTACTGAGCTACTTCCCAGTCCTTGGCCACAGGTCTAAATTTATAACAGTATTTAAAAACATTCATATTGGGGCTGGGGTCATGGCTCAGTGGTAGAGCACTTGTCTCGCATGTGTGAGTCACCGGGTTCGAGTCTCAGCACCTCATATAAATAAATGAATAAAATAAAGGTCCATCAACAACTAAAAATATTTTAAAAATTCATATCAAAAATTTTTTCAAGGTAGTGAAGTCTAGGTTCTTCAGCAAATACATTACCAGGCCCAGGCAGCCTGGTCACACCCTAGTTTTTTTTTATTTCATTTCATTGGTAGGAACAGTTCCCATCACTACTCCAGTGCTCCCAGTAAAAATTTTCAAGAGTTTGTATGGCCATAAGCCCCACTGATTACGGCACATTATAAGAGAGATTCTGGGGGCTGGGGATGTGGCTCAAGCGGTAGCGCGCTCGCCTGGCATGCGTGCGGCCCGGGTTCGATCCTCAGCACCACATACAAACAAAGATGTTGTGTCCGCCGAAAACTAAAATAAATAAATAAATATTAAAAAAAAAAAAGAGAGAGATTCTGGCTGGCTGGATTCCCTGCTCTGTATGGAGATGCTTGGGTATTTAATTCTTTTTTTGGGGGGGGAGTACTTTGAGTTAAACCCAAGAGTGCTTTACCACCGAGCCACACCCCCAACCTTTTTATTTTTTGTTTTGAGACAGGGTCTCACTAGGTTGCTAAGCCTTGCTTCAAACTTGCAATTCTCCTGCCTCAGACGCCTGAGTACTGGGAATATAGAAAGGTGCCACTTCCTGGCTTATTTTACTGTTTTTAAAAATCATTTTTATAATTTCTTACCTTTTTAAAAATATTTTTTAGTTGTAGTCAGGCACAATACATTTATTTTATTTTTTTATGTTGTGCTGAGGATCAAACCCAGTGTCTTGCACATGCTAGGCGAGCACTCTACCGCTGAGCCACAACCCCAGCCCCATTTCTTTTGTACTTTTTATTTTTTCTTTTTCTTTTTTTTTAGTTGTAAATGGACACAGTATCTTTATTTTTATTTATTTATTTTCATGTGGTGCTGAGGATCGAACCCAGTGCCTCATCCTTGCAAGACAATGCTCTACCCCTGAGCCACAACCCCAGCCCCCCAGCCCCATTTCTTACCTTTTTATTTTAAAAAACTTCAAATGTACATAAAAATGGAAAGACTGTAAAATTAAAATCCATTTACCCTTTACATAGGCTCACATATTGTGAATATTTTCCTTCTCTCCTTATATGAGTATCTTTAGCTAATTTACATAAAGACGTTCAGGCAGGGAGCAGTAGCACATGCCTGCGATCCCAGTGACTCAGGAGGCTGAGGCAGGAGGATCACAAGTTCAAGGCCAGCCTGGACAAATTAAGGAAACCCTGTGTCAAAGTAAAAATTAAAAAGGGCTGAGGATGTGGCTCAGTGGTAGAGCACCTTTGGATTCAATCCCTGATTCCCCCCCAAAAAGCATTAATATCTTTATTTCTGTATCTCTGGGTGTGGAGAGACGTGTTGTCTGCTGAACTTTTCAAAGTAAGTTGTAGACATCACATAGACCTTAAACCCTTCTGCTGGGTCATTTTTCTACATAACGACAACATGATTACCAAACTGAAGAAAGTTCACATGGATTATACTAGTTCTGAGGGATTGATCCATATGCAGATTTCCCCTTGTTCACACATCCCAACTGCTTTATGGCTTTTTCTCCAGTCCGGGAACCAATCAGGTTTCTGGCATTACAGATTCTGATCTTGTGTCTTGAGTCTCCAGAACAGTTCCCTGACTTCCTGTTTTGTGGCATGAACATTTTTCTAAGTGTTGACCTCAGTTGCTTGTAGACAGCTCCTCTTTGTGTGTGTGTGTGTGTGTGTGTGATATTGGGTGATGGGGCTTGAGCCCATGGGTGCTCTACCACTGAGCTACATCCCCAGTCCTTTTTGTTTTTCATTCACGTTTGTTTTTTTATTTTTTATTTTGAGGCAAGCTCTCTCTAAATCACTCAGGCTGGCCCCCAATCGGCCATCCTCTGGCTGCAGCTGCAGCGTCACTGGGATCACAGGCCACAATTCTGGTTGTCTTCCACCTGCCAGCTTCCCTTTCTGGGCCTGGTGAAATCGTAGTTCGAAGCGCCGTCTAGTGGTCGTGTGAGAAAAACTTTTTTCTAACAGTTTTACTCATGCCCGGGGCACCTTCCGGAAAGCTTGAGGGCACTGGGAGGAAAGCTGGAGTTGATGGAGAGGTCCCAGCAAACAGGATCTGCCACCAGGAAGGAACCCAGATTTCAGAGCCACAGTGTGGGGGACACCTCTTCCCTGTCCGGGTGGGACCTGCAAATCCCAGCTGCCCAGGGCTTGTGTGATGGGCTCTCTGTGGTGCATCCCTGTTCCCCTCTGGGATTGATTTAAATCCTGGCTCTGCCACAGCTACCTGCGTGGGCTTGGGCGAGTTCCCTAACTCTCTGTGGGACTGAAAAATTTCTCCATCTGTAAAATGGGACAATAATATCTCTGCCTCACCCAGCTGTGAGGATTAAATGAGCTGATGTCTGTAGTGCTTACTGCCAGGCAGTGCCATTTCATGTCCACATGGGACAGTCCATGTGGGTGTGGCTGTGGCTCTGTCTTCTGGAAAGCTCTAATTTCTGAGACGCCTCATCCCCCAGCCCTGAGCTGACCCTGACCCTTCCTCTTTGCAGGACTACATTCCTGTGGAGGGCGAGCTGCTGTTCCACCCTGGAGAGACCTGGAAGGAGCTGCAGGTGAAGCTCCTGGAGCTGCAGGAAGTAGATTCCCTCCTTCGGGGCCGTCACAGCCGCCGCTTCCATGTCCAACTTAGCAACCCCAAGTTTGGGACCCGCCTGGGCCAGCCCCACTCAGCAACCGTCATCATTGGGGACCGAGGTAGGCAGAGCCTGGGGTCAGCATACACAAGTGGAGAGGGAGGTTGGAGGGCCTCTCAGCAAACACCAGCCCAGGAAGCCCAGTTTAATGTGAATTTCACATAAACAAAAACAAAACATACTTGTTGTATAAGTATGCCCCTGCACTTGTGGGACATACTTATCCTTTAAAAAGTGTTCTTTGGGGCTGGAGTTGTACTTCAGTGGTACAGCACTTGCCTAGCATGTGTGAGACACTGGGTTCAATCCTTAGCACCACACTAAAAAAAAAAATAAATAAAGGTGAAAAAAAAAGTGTTCATTGGCAAAGCCCAGTGGCGCATGCCTATAATCCCGGCTACTCGAGAGGCTGAGGCAGGAGGATGGCAAGTTTGAAGCCAGCCTCAACAACTTAAAATAAAAAGGATGGGGATTTAGCTCAGTCGTAGAGCACCTGGGTTTATCCCGAGTACTGCAAAGAAAAAATAAAAGTGTTCACTCCTTATCTGAAATTCAGATTCAACTAGGTACCTTGCACTGCAGCTGGCAGCCCCTCCTCAACCAGACAGGCTGAAATCAATGGCCACAGGGCCTGAATCCATTTGACCTCAGCCTCAAGTGCGGGTTCCTGGAAGCGGGGAGCCAGCGAGTTCCTATCAGTTCTTAGCTTCCATTGTCGTGGTGTCTCTGAGCCCTCCCCTGAGAGCTTCCTGACAGGAAGATGGGAGGAAAGGGCAGGGGAGGGAGGAAGGGAGCAGATGTTCCATGGAGGACATCCCCTTGGCTGCCAAGGGAGAAAGAGGGGCAGATGAGTTTCCTCCTCCTTCGCATTCCAGGAGAGCGCCCCCTGGGCCTCCACCCAAGCTTGGTGTGATGCCCTCTGTGGCACCAGCTCCCCAGTGAGGTGCCAGGCAGGTCTTAGTTGAATCTCTCGGGAGGGAGCCAGGGGTGTTTAACTGAGTCTTTGGCTCCCCCTCGTGGTGAAGGCGTGTCTAAGCCAGCTGTCCCACCCTACCTTGGTCCACTAGATGAACTGGACCTGAGCCTCATAAATCAGACGGGGTCATCACCGCCACCTCCCCGTGGGGACCTGGGAGCCCCACAGAACCCCAATGCCAAGGCTGCTGGGTCCCGGAAGATCCATTTCAACTGGCTGCCTCCTCCTGGCAAGCCGATGGGGTACAGGGTAAGCCGGGGGGCAATGGGCAATGACAAGTGGCTAGGGAGGTCTGACACCCACCACCATCAGAGAGGTGGACTGCTCCGAGGGAGGGGGAGGGCCTGCTTGGAACCAGCAGGTCCAAGTGAGAGTAGATGGCAGGACCCTAGGAGGAGAGAAGAGCCATTCCTGAGTTTTTCAGATTTTTTCTCTCCTTCTTAGAATGGGCCTTCTCCCCTTGCCCAGGAGATCCCCTGCTCTGCCCAACTGCCCTGTGAGCACCCCCAAGCCTCGGTGTCTCATCCTGTTCAAAGAGAAAAATAAGGGCAAGGGGTCAGTGGAGGGACAAGTGGCTTCGGTGCCTGTCACTTCCCTCTGACCAGTCCCCTCCCTTGAGCAGGTGAAGTACTGGATCCAGGGTGACTCCGAGTCCGAAGCCCACCTGCTTGATAGCAAGGTGCCCTCGGTGGAGCTCACCAACCTCTACCCGTACTGTGACTATGAGATGAAGGTGTGTGCCTATGGGGCACAGGGCGAGGGTCCCTACAGCTCCCCGGTGTCCTGCCGCACCCACCAAGAAGGTGAGGCCTGTTCATGTCCCTGCATCTGTCCCCAGCTACCCTGATGTCAGTGTGCCCAGCCCTCCCCACTCCCTACCTCCCAGAGCTCGGCCCTCCTTCTGCCACTAACAGAGCTCTTCCTGCCCCCAACCCAGTACCCAGTGAGCCTGGGCGTCTGGCCTTCAATGTCGTCTCCTCTACGGTGACACAGCTGAGCTGGGCTGAGCCAGCTGAGACCAATGGCGAGATCACAGCCTACGAAGTCTGCTATGGCCTGGTGAATGAGGACAACCGTAAGGATTGGGACTCTCCTTCCTGGCCCCAGGGACAGCATCAGTGGAAGGGGAATGGCAAAGAACCAGAGCTCTGGGTCACTCCTGGGTACTTGAGGCCTATCATTCTGGTCAGTGGATAAGCCTGAGAGGCATTGTGGGGTTTCTGGTCACAGATGAGCTCTGCATCCCAAGGGAGGCAAAATTATATACGTACATGGAGATCACAGACCCCAGGGCCCCCTCCTGTACAGGTAACCAGGATGCCTCATTTTTACATGATCTCTTAGGCCACAATAGAGTTGCCAGATTAATCAAATAAAACCACTAGATGAGCTGGGTGCTGTAGTGCACAGCTGTAACCCCAGAGACGCGGGAGGCTGAGGAGGCTGAGGCGGCTGAGGCAGGAAGATCACAAGTGTGAGACCAGCTTGGGCAACTTAGGGAGACCCTCAGCAACTTGATGAGACCCTGTCTCAAAATAAAAAGTTCAAAACAGCCCAGGCACCGTGGTGCATGCCTATAATCCCAGTGGCTCTGGAGGCTGAGGCAGTAGGATCTAGAGTTCCAAACCAGCCTCAGCAAAAGTGAGGTGCTAAGCAACTCAGTGAGACCTTGTCTCTAAATAAAATACAAAATAGGGCTGGGGATGTGGCTGGGGATGTGGCTCAGTGGTTGAGTGCCCCTGAGTTTAATCTCCGGTACCCCCCCCCCAAATAAAAAAAAAGTTAAAAGGACTGAAGATGTAAATCACCCCTGGGTTCAATTCCCAGGATAAAAAAAGAGAAAGAAAGGAAAAGAAAACACAGGATGAACTGGGACTGGGACAGCTGCTTACAGTCCCAGCAACTCCAGAGGCTGAGGCAGGAGAATCACAAATTCCTGGCCAGCCTGGGCACCTTAGGGAGACTCTGTCTTAAAATACAAAACTAAAAGGGCTGGGGTTATAGCTCAGTGTTACAGCCCCCTGGGTTTAGGGGGAAATCCTAAAAAAAATGAAACACCGGATACCGGAAAATTTCTAAACACATTTTATTTTTTTAGTTGTTGATATACCTTTTTAAAAATTTTATTTATATGTGGTGCTGAGAATTGAACCCAGTGCCTCACACATGCCAGGCAAGTGCACTACCACTGAGCCACACCGCCCCAGCCCACTCTAAACACATTTTTAATAGAATATTTCATACATTTTTTCCGGGAATCCTAACCCAGAACAGCGGGGAAAAGTGTCTTTGTCTTCCCAGTCTACCCTTCTCAGTCCTGGAAGGGAGGAGAGAGTGGGGGACTTCTGCCAACTGTCATGATGAGAAAGTGTCCTGCCTCTCACCTGGCTCAGGGACCTCTGCACACCCTGACTCTGCCTGGTGGGTCCTGGTGATGGAGAGCAGACCACCCTCACATAGATTGTAGGAGCAGCAGCGGAACCCTGGTGCTAGGGAAGTTCTGATGATTTTGACTTAATTCACAGAGGGGGTTCTAGGAGTGTTTTCCTGTTGAAGCACCTCATTCACATCTTCTTTTCAGACTCTGAGGCCAGTGCACATTATAGCTGAATATGTGCAATTTGCAAAGTGCTTGTGTTGGGGAGGGTGCATGCTTGTAATCCCAGTGACTTGGGAGACTGAGGCAGGAGGATCACAAGTTCAAAACTAGCCTCAGCAACTTAGTGAGGCCTTAAGCAACTTGACAAGACCTTGTCTCAAAAAATAAAAAAGGCTGGGGGTGTGGCTAAGTGGTTAAGCACTCCTGGATTTAATCCCCAGTACCAAAGAAGAAAGAAAGAGAAGGAAGGAAGGAATAAATTTTAAAATTAATCAATTACTTCAGAATAGCAGTGAAATATTAGGGCCACGACCCCTATGCAGGGCAGTCGACAGTGGGACTCTCTGAGCATCAGGCTTGGGGCAGGGGGAGGGGTGCTCCTCACTCTTCACTAACCAGGCCAGCCAAGCATCAGGTTTCTTGGCAGCCACGTCACACCTCAGCTTGGTGTGAGCTTACGACACTTGGTCCGCTCTTAGGCCACAGCTGGGTGGTCTCCTCTGACTTGGCCTTTTAACCCCAGGAGTGACCCACAGCCCAGGACCATCCATCTCTGAAGGTTTCAGCACATTGTGTGCGAGGCAGCCCCGCAGGATAGGGGCATTGCATTTTGGTGTGTGCCACTCACTGTTCCCTCCCTTCCATGAGCTGACAGAGATGCGAGGAGGGTGGGCCAAGGCCAGCCCTTGCTACCTCCAGGCTGACCTGGCTTCCGAGCAAAGCTTTTTGAGCACAACTGTGTGCTGGGGGTGCACATCAAGTTTCTCAGTTGTCATTTACAAGAATTTTCCTTTGAACTTTTTGGGAAATTGGGACATTTTCTAGTCTCCATTCTTTTGTGTCTTCTCTGGTTTTCTGTGTCTTCCAACAGTGGGCCCACCCTGCTTTCACGCAGAGCTCACTGAGCGCCCTCCCAGGGCTGAGTATCCACCCCAGGTGCGACTGGCCTCTGCCAATGTGCATTGCCAGCCCTCCACCTTCACCCCACCCTGTCCCCATTAGCCTGTTCGTCCTAAATTGTAGCCTCTGTGAGTCCACTTGTGTCCTCCCCTTGGCTCCTGTTGCCACAGCACCCTGGGGGCAGCAAGGCATGCAGGTGTCTCAGCGTGTGGGGCTGAGCTGTCAACCATGAGCATGGATGGGAGGATGTTGTCCTGAGAGCCCCCTCAGCTCCTGAGCCAGCCTCCTATGGAGCCATCTGGATATAGGACGGTTTGCTAATTGGTAAAGGTGACAGTAGGGCCATCTGGAGTCTAGTGTTGACCCTGGCACTTACTTAGCGATGAGTCCTTAGATATCTGGTAACACCTCCATAAGCCAGTCATACCCAGGTTCAAAGGGCTCAGCAGCTGCTTGCTTCCCTCCCCATCTATACAACTCTGCTGGGTCAGGGATGGGGCTGGGATCAGGCTGTAACCTGGGTGACCTACCCCTGAAGCACCCTCCCTGCCCCAGGACCCATTGGGCCCATGAAGAAGGTGCTGGTGGACAGCCCCAAGAACCGGATGCTGCTCATCGAGAATCTACGAGAATCCCAGCCATATCGCTACACGGTGAAGGCGCGCAATGGGGCAGGCTGGGGACCTGAGCGGGAGGCCATCATCAACCTGGCCACTCAGCCCAAGAGGCCCATGTCCAGTGAGTGCTGGGAAGGGATGTGCAGGGCAGATGGGGGGACAGGAGGCTGCAGCTGGTGCTCTGGCTCACCTCCCCTATCCTGCAGTCCCCATCATCCCAGACATCCCCATCGTGGACGCCCAGGGTGGGGAAGACTATGAAAGCTTCCTTATGTACAGTGACGACGTTCTGCGCTCCCCAGCAGGCAGTCAGAGGCCCAGCGTCTCTGATGACACCGGTGAGTGGGATCCATGAAAGACAGTGGGGGTGATGGGCATGGGGTAGGGCTGTCCCTGGTGTCCAGAGAGAGTAAAGTGGCCAGCAACTACTGGGCATGGAGGTCAACACTAGAAGTCGCTTTTCAGCCTCAGACATATATATCCACAGAGCCCATGATTTGGCACTGGGGACATGGAGAGGGCACAGCTATTGTGGCCCACTGAATTCATGTGCACTACCATGTGTGAGAACACACAGATGTCCGCTGGGGGCAGATGCACACAGGCCTGGGCACATACATGTGGATTATGCACTGGAAATACTACTTTGTGATCCAAAGGTTAACCTGCAGCTTAATGGAGTTAGGACTCCTCCCAGAGGCAGGCCTCAGTGAGAGGGGGCAGGCACAGACCAGGAGCCCTGAGCAGCCACTTCACAGGGGTGGGGCCAGCTGATGAGGCAGAGATGCCCCAGCAGGCCCGGTTCTCCCGCTTGACTCCTGGCACAGTATATTGCAAAAAGAGCCCTTAGCAGGGACTCCTGGGTGCAGCTTTAGCTCTGGCTCCACTGTGGGACACACACCTGCTCTGTGCCTGATGTCTGATCTGTAAAATGGAATGTCAATCATACAATGCCAGGATGGGATCTTCCGGAGAGTATGGTTTTGAGGGTCTACTATTAGTATCCTGGGGCTTCTGGAACTGTCCCTGGGAGGCGGCAGGGGAAAGATTACTCTTCTTTGCACAGTCCGGAAACTGAAGCTCAGGGCATTTAAGCAACAAGGGAAACCTCACAGCGGGAGACAGGGCCGAGGCTCCATCCACAAGGTCTGTGGCTGGTACCGGGTCTTTCCTCCCGAGCTGTGGCCAAAACTACACAACCCTATTCGGAATCAGGACAAGGGTTTCTCCTGTCGCCGGGCTTTCCCATCGCTGCAGCACGGGGACACCCAATCCTGACGCCGGGCTCTGCCGCTGGCCTGGCTCGGTCCTCCTTGGCGCCACCAACCCCGGCGCCCCCGGCGGTGCCAACGCGGCCCTTCGTTGTTCCCAAGGCGGCGGCTGGAAGTTCGAGCCCCTGCTGGGGGAGGAGCTGGACCTGCGGCACGTCACGTGGCGGCTGCCCCCGGAGCTCATCCCGCGCCTGTCGGCCAGCAGCGGGCGCTCTTCTGACGACGGCGGCGCGGGGAGCGCGGCCGGGGAGGGCAGCAGCCGGGCCCGCAGCGCGACGCCCGGGCCCCCCGGAGGTGACCACCTTCCTGGGCTGCGCACGCCGGCTGGGACCTGGGGCCGCCACTTGCTGCCCCAGGGCCCCAGCTTCGGCCAGGCTGCTCATCAAGATGCCAGGCCAGGCCAGGGGCCTGCAACTGTGTGCACACAGCACCGGGTAGCCAAGGGATGCCCAGGGCAGGCATTTGGGCGCCCCCGGAGGCAGGACAGGAAGTGATTCTCATGATGCCTACCCCAACTGGGGCAGCCAGCTTCAGAAACTTGTGTCAGGGGAAGACCCTCAGGGACCTCCAGGATTTGAGGACAGGCTTTGGGCTCTCCTGGAAGGCCAGGCAGGTCCCAAGCTGGGTTGGCTGTGCTCTGATAATCCATGGCACAGAGCTAGAGGACATGTGGCCTTCGCGACTCCTCTGGGGACATAGGGGCCCTAACATGGTAGTTTGGGGGAGATTGGTGGTATTTTATTCCCAGGCTCCCCAAAGGGAAGGGAACCCCAGGAATCCTCAGGGCCACATCCTGCCCCTTAGGCCTCCAGGTCTGACTGACCGACCCTCTCTCCTCCTGCAGAGCACCTGGTGAATGGTCGAATGGACTTTGCCTTCCCAGGCAGTGCCAACTCCCTACACAGGATGACAGCGGCCAATGCCACCTATGGCACCCACCTGAGCCCACATCTGCCCCACCGTGTGCTGAGCACCTCCTCCACCCTCACTCGGGACTACCACTCGCTGACCCGCACACAGCACTCACAGTCGTCCACACTGCCCAGAGACTACTCCACCCTCACCTCCCTCTCCTCCCAGGGTGAGCAACCTCAACCAATCCTGCCTCGCCTGTTCATCACCTCCATTCCAGCTCCTGGAGGCTTGGGCCGGTGGCCCCCACTGCCCACCCTCCACATCCCGTCCCTCTCACTCCTTGTTTTGTCCTGCCCTAGGCCTCCCTCCCATCTGGGAAGACGGGAGGAGCAGGCTTCCGCTGTCCTGGGCCCTGGGGTCCTGGAGTCGGGCTCAGATGAAGGGGCTCCCCCCCTCCAGGGGCTCACGAGATTCTATAATCCTGGCTGGGCAGCCAGCAGCACCCTTCTGGGGCCCAGGTAGTTCCGGGGTGGCCATCCTGCTCCATCTGCCATCCATCGCAGCTGCTGCCTGTGCCCATCCACCACCTTGGCCTCATTCCATTCACAGGACCCTGCCCTCCCAGAGGAGCTAACCCCTGCCCCACACTCATCAGTGCTGATGCCTAACATGGCCTCTGTCCTGCCAGGGTGTGGGCTGGGGTGGGTCAAAGAGAGGGGCCCTGCCAGCTAAGCAGGGAGCAAGGTGGGAGGTGGCAGACTCAGAGGGTGACCCTCTTTCATCATAGGCGGGGTCTGTAACTAATCCAAGGACCCGTGGAAGGTTCTGGGTACAAGCTGCCTGGCTACCTGAGGGGGTAGAATTGTGACAGCAGGAAGATCCCAGCTCCTTCCCCTGACTGTGATGTCCTGTCTCCAGATTCTCGAGGTGCCATGGGTGTGCCTGACACACCCACCCGCCTTGTGTTCTCCGCCCTGGGACCCACATCTCTGAAAGTGAGCTGGCAGGAGCCTCAGTGTGAGCGCCTGCTACTGGGCTACAGTGTGGAGTACCAGCTGCTGAATGGCGGTGAGGCGGGGCTACTGCTGCCTGCAGGGGTGGGGACCTTCCAGGCCTGGGCCCATGCTGAGCACCCCAGTGGGGTCAGGAACCTACCCAAGGCTTTGTGCATAAGCCCACCTCCAGTCTTCTTGAGGGTCTCACTCCATTCCCCTTCTTTCCCTCACCTGAGGTCTCATCCATCTCCCTGCGCCTCTCTGCCTATTTCCTCTGCTAGGTTTTCCCTAACAAGGCCTCACGGACCAAGGCCTTCCCTGGTCTGTGTGACCTTTGTGGGAACTAGGCAGTGGCACGAATCTTATCACACTGTACCCCCCCACAGGCAGCCCTGGGCCAGATGTTGATGGCAGCCTAGGGAAGTGGGGATCAGGACAGGGTTGGGGTAAAGCTGCTCTGCTGTCTGCCCTCACCCAACCTCCAGGCGAGCTACACAGGCTCAACATCCCCAACCCTGGCCAAACTTCTGTGGTGGTGGAAGACCTCCTGCCCAACCACTCCTACGTGTTCCGTGTGCGGGCCCAGAGCCAGGAGGGCTGGGGCCGAGAGCGTGAGGGTGTCATCACCATTGAATCACAGGTGCACCCGCAGAGCCCACTCTGCCCCCTGCCAGGTGAGTGGTCCCCCACAGCTACCACCATGCCCACCACACTCCCACACACTGACATTCTCTCTGCTGCCTCCAGGATCTGCCTTCACTCTGAGCACCCCCAGTGCCCCAGGCCCATTGGTGTTCACTGCCCTGAGCCCCGATTCACTGCAGCTGAGCTGGGAGCGGCCACGGAGGCCCAATGGTGACATCCTCGGCTATCTGGTGACCTGTGAGATGGCCCAAGGAGGAGGTACTGCCCACCCTGAGGCTAGGGGTGCCTGTGGAGTAGTGGAGAAGGGACCACAGGAACTGAAGACATCCTCCCATGCAGGGCCAGCCACTACATTCCGGGTGGATGGAGACAACCCTGAGAGCCGGCTGACCGTGCCTGGCCTCAGTGAGAACGTGCCCTACAAGTTCAAGGTGCAGGCCAGGACTACCGAGGGCTTCGGGCCAGAGCGTGAAGGCATCATCACCATTGAGTCCCAGGATGGAGGTGGGGCATCTCTTCTTTACCCCAACTCTTCTCTGGTCACGGCTTCTCCTGCCATCCCCTAACAGGCCAATCTACCCTCTCCAGGTCCCTTCCCACAGCTGGGCACCCATTCCGGGCTCTTCCAGCACCCACTGCAAGGCGAGTACAGCAGCATCACCACCACCCACACCAGCACCACTGAGCCCTTCCTAATGGGTGAGTTACCACCAGGAGGTGGGGATCCCGGCTCCCAGGAGCGTAGCCAACATGGAAGGGCAGGGACCACGCAGCATCTTTCAAACTTCTTCTCCCACAGATGGACTGACCCTGGGGTCCCAGCACCTAGAGACAAGTGGCTCTCTCACCCGGCACGTGACCCAGGAATTTGTGAGCCGGACACTGACTACCAGTGGAACCCTCAACGCCCAGGTGGACCAACAGTTTTACCAAACATGACCCACCAACCTCACCAGTGTTCTGGAACCTGGGCTCCCTCCCTGCCTCTTCTTTCCAGCACTCCCTCAGCCACTCCATCCTTGGACCCCAACCTGGGGCCCAGCCCCACCTTCATGCTGACCACAGAGCCAGCACCTCTTGCCATGGAGCAGGGGCCAGGTATCCTGTAGGAAGCACGAAGGGGGCAGAGGTCTCAGAAGGCCCTTTGGCTGTCCCTGCCCCACGCTGGCCCAAACTTATTTGTAACCAAAGAGCTGGGACCAGGACAAGGACCCAGCCTTTGTTCTGCACTAAATAAAAAATTTTGCTACTGCTTGACTCTGTCCTATCTGTTCCTCAGGAGCCCAAAAAGTGCCAGCCGGGCAGAGCAGTGATTCTGACAACCTCCCCTTCTCTGACCCCTAAGCACATACCTACCTCTAGAAGCAGGAGAGTACCACAGTCAGAGGCATGTTTATTAAGCACCCAAATGAGGAAGGTGGGGCCAGACACAGAGCTGCATGACCTGCCACCTCGGCCAATGCTTGCATATGCTGTCCAGAGGTGCCTCACAGGCACAACACCTTGGCTCCATCAGCAGCCTGGGAGAGGTAGAAGGTGGCAGTACCACTGTACTGCTCCTGGGGGAGAGATGAGCAGTCTGAGTGATGGGGGAACCCTGGGAATCCACCTCTCCTGCCCTCCAAGGCTCTGGTGCTTACTAACCTGTATGTGCTGCATGGTGCGGGAAGCAGCAGAGGCCTCCAGCAGTGTCACTGTGCAGCCACCAAAGCCACCACCTGTCATGCGACTGCCATAAACCCCAGGCACAGACAGTGCAGCCTCAACCAGTTGGTCCAGCTCAGAGCAGCTCACCTCATAGTCATCCCTGCGGACCATATAGAAGAGGTCAGCCTGGGACCCACCTGTGCCCAAGAGGTGCAGGCTGCCCTAGGGCCTCACCTGAGTGAGTAGTGACTCTCCACCATGAGGCGGCCAAAGGCTCTGTAGTCCCCACGGCTCAAGGCAGCTGCTGCCTGGGCTGTGCGCCGGATCTCACCCACCACATGCCGTGCCCGGCGGAAGCCCTCCTTGCTCACCAGCTCTCTGCCAGCTGGGGAGGAACAGCGGTCAGCAGTCCCACCTCCCACTCCTGAGGGCCCCAGGGTTGTCAAAGAGGGCCCTGCTAGGCAGGACAAGGCTGATTACCCCAGGCCTGGCTCTGAAGAGCTCCCTCATCTCAGAGCCTCCCCTCCTCACTGAAAAATGGGACAACTGTATCATTTTGTCACTCAGGGAGCAGGGAGGACTGCAGGAGACTGCACAGGGCTTCCTGCAGGGAGCTGGCATGGTAGGTACTCAATAATCAGCTGTTTAAGCACCAAACTCCCACCTGGACTCTTGGGGCTTTAAAGGTGAGTGGGGATGTGGCTCAAGCGGTAGCGTGCTCGCCTGGCATATGTGCGGCCCGGGTTCGATCCTCAGCACCACATACAAACAAAGATGTTGTGTCTGCCGGAAAACTAAAAAATAAATATTAAAAAAAAAAAAAATTTCCCTCCCTTAAAAAAAAAAAAAAAAAAAAAAAAGTGAGTGGAACACAGGGCAACCTTCAAGAGGACACAAAAGCTGGACAGAGTGACACACGCCTATAATCCCAAGGGGCTTGGGAGGCTGAGGCAGGAGGATTGGCTGTTAAAAGCCAGCTTCAGTAATGAGGCCCTAACCAACTTAGCAAGAACCTGTCTCTAAATAAAAAAAATCTTTTTTTTGGTATCAAAGATTGAACTCAGGGGCACTCAGCCACTGAGCCACATCTCCAGCCCTATTTTGTATTTTATTTAGAGACAGGGTCTCACTGAGCTGCTTAGCACCTCACCATTGCTAGTCTGGCATTGAACTCATGATCCTCCTGCCACAGCCTCCGAGCCGCTGGGATTACAATCTTTTTTAAAAAGATGGAGATGTGGCTTAGTGGTAAAGCACCCTGTGTTCAATCTTGGTACCCCCCACTTTCCCCCGCCAAAAAAAAAAAAAAAAGAGGATGCAAAAAAGCAATCTTAAGATTTCAAAGAGGGCTGGGAGTGTTAACTCAGTGGTAGGGCACCTGCCTGGCACATGTGGGGCCCTGGTTTTCAGCCAGCACACGCCTATAATCCCAAAGACTTGGGAGGCTAAAGCAGGAGGATCAAAAGTTCAAGGCCAATCTCAGCAACTTAGTAAGACCCTGTCTCAAAGGAAATTTTTTTTAAAAGGGTTGAGGATATAGCTCAGTGGCAGAGCACCCCTGGGTTCAATCCCTAGCACTGAAGGGATAAAAAGAAAAATGATTTTAAGCATCCGTGATGAGGCTGGAGCCCTAGATTTGCAGTGCTTTGGGGGAAGAGGGCAGAGCATGGCAAATGGCCCTGAAAATCAGCAGAGTAAAGGCCATAAGAGAGCAGCAGGGAGCCCAGCCATATTTAGAAAAGACTGATGTTCTCACCCTCCAGCTCCTCCAGCCGCACCTCCCGAAGGCTCTCCTTGCCCAGTGCCCTGGCCACTTCTTCACACTGGCGTCGTCTCAAGGGGTACTCGCTGGAACCCAGGGAGTGGCGGACGTTGGAATTAGTGATGAGCACAGCCAGCTTGGGGTCCGACAGTGGCACCAGGCTTGTCTCCAGGGACCTAGTATGGAGTTGGATTAGGGAAGATGACAAGGCCAAGGATCTGCTTGCCAGGCCAGGCAGTAGGCATGCTCCACCTAGGAACTCCTGATTATGAGGTGGGAGGGTACAAGGGGAGCCCCTGACCTGCAGTCAATGAGCAGCGCGTGGCCCTTCTGCCCCAGCAGTGCGATGAGCTGATCCATGATGCCACAGGGCACCCCTGCAAAGCTGTGCTCGGCCCGCTGACACACCTGGGCCCGGGCAGCTATTGCCCCCGAGTCTGTGGCATAGGGTGAAGTAGGGAAGCCGGGGCCCAGGAGGAACACAAGAAGTGGCCACATGGGAGCTGCAGTATAGCTCCAATGACACTCTGTGGAGACTCCCCACTCCCCCCCTCCCTAAACCACAACATGGGAAGAGTTCTGACCAGAGACTCAGGCAAGGAGGGCTGGGCTGGGGCTAGGGCCTATGTGGTACCTGGGCAGAGTTGCTGGAGGAAGGTGTACGTGGCCACTTCCAAGGATGCGGAGCTGGACAGCCCACCCCCCAGGGGCACTGAGCTGACCACCACTGCACTGAAGCCAGGGATGGGGGAAGCTGCAGTAGAAAGAATGGTGATGTTAAGATGGACTGCTAGAAGGATGGACACAGGAAAAGCATGTGTCCTTATAGGAAGGAAGGAAGCCTGGTAGCCACTTCTAGGGCATGTCTCTCAATTGTTAGGCCACCAACCTGCTGGTGCCAAAGAGCCTACTACCCTCCATCTTCTGGCCATCTGAGGTTACTGGAACAATCTTTCTAGTTATCCTCTTGATTTAGGCCTAGAAAATTGGGGTTTGATTCCTGGCTCCTCTAATCATGTAAAAGGAAACCCAGGGCAAGTTCTGGAACTTCTTAGGGCATCAGTTTTCTCATTGGTACGGTAGGCTATTCCACCTTGCAAGCTTTCCCCAGTGTATTAGACAGGTTAATGGACTTGTGGCTGTGAGGTGACAATCCTACTGGCAACATAAATTTGATCTGCAATCCTAGTGGCAGCATGAATTTGACCCATGCCTGGGCCCCATACCTGGGTAGTGCTGAATCACTCCCTTGACATAATTGGCCCATCGGGGAGTCCCAGGCTCCAGTGACCGGTGGACTGTGGGCAGTGGAAACTGCAGCCGCTGGGGCTCATCAGCATCTTTGGAGGTGGTGAGGAGAGAGACAAGCCCATCTGTTCGGGGGCTGCCTACCAGCAGGGTCACCAGCTCCAATGCCTGAAAGAAGAGATAGGAGTATGTGGAGCTTATACCAGCAAATGGAATAAGCCCCTCCAGAGACACCCTCCAACTACAAGGACTCCAGCCAAGGTTCTGCCCCCTGGGACACACAGGGAGGTGGAGGGAACCAGCTCAACTTAAAGGGAATGAGGTGTGGCTCAAGGAGGAGCCTGAGTGCAGAGCTGGCCTTAGGGGCTTGGAGCTCAGGCCCCTGGGTATTCAGAGGTGGAGCCAGCAGCAGGAGGAATGCAAACCTGGACTCTGCCCTGAGCAAGGGCTCCCAGCTGCAGGGAAAGAGGGAGAGAGAGAGCTAGCTCAAAAGGAAAACAGGATCAAAGGGGCTCCACGCCTTCCCATTTGGGGATGACCTCCAAAAGGAGGCGGATGGATTTGCTATAACTACTCACTTCCCAAGCTGCAGGGTGGGACTGAGAGCCCAGGTTAAGAGCTGGAAGGTGGGCTGGGGCTGTAGCTCAGTGGCAGAGCGCTTGCCTAGTATGTGAGGCACTGGGTTCGATTCTCAGCACCACATATAAATAAATAAAATAAAGGTCCATTGACAACTAGAAAAAATATTTAAAAAAAAAAAAAAAGAGCTGGAAGGTAACACTCAAGGTCACATACCAAGAACCAGCTGTGAGACCTTGAGCAGATCCCCAACCCTTTCTGAGTTGGCTTCCTCCTCCGTAACCGGAATGGGCTGGGCCAGAGGCTGGGGGGCTCCATTTGCCCAGGCCTATGGTTTTGGCCTCAACGAGGCCAGAAGCCGGAAGTGTTCCCCTTTTACCTGCTACTTAGGGCCCAAATTTGAAGGGGAACACTCCCCCCGGCTGAGGTCCAGGACCAGCAATCCCCAGAAGGCGGACTTGGGTGAAGAGGTGCCCGCATACCCTCTCCTGTCTGCGTCTGTCTCTCTTCGCACGTGAAAAACGGTCTGTCCCAGGGTCTCCCGCGTGCGCGACTCCCACTCCGCTGCCCGCCCCACATTCCAGCGGGAGAGAGCGCGTCCCTGAGCCCCAGCCGCCCGCCCTTCTCCGCGGCGGGGCAGCCGGCCCGGGGCTCCCCCTGCGCAGCCCCTCACCATAGGCAACACCAGGCCCTGGTTGTAGTCCGTGTGTTCCCCGATGAGGTTGACGCGGCCCGGCGCTGACACGGCCAGCTCGGGCTCGGCCCCGAACTCCTCGCGGAAGGCTCGTCGGGCCTCGGCCAGCAGCTCCTGGACCTGGGGCGGTCTGCAAGCAGCCATGACGCTGGTCTGCAGTTCGGCGCGCCGCAGCGCGGGATGCTGGGGGTGGAGCCTCGCATTCCTGCCCGACGCCCCGCCCCCGGATCGTTCGGCCCCGCCCCCGCCCGCGGAGTGCGACCGAATCCACCTGCTGTGC